TTCGTTTTGACAACTGCGGCATTTGTCGCCTTCTGTTGAACTTGTCACTTATTGAAATATAATAGCTTTTAGTGGGAACCGTCAGAAGAAGGATCATTCTCTGTTCTCGTGGTTGACGAAAATGGACAAGGCCGCTTCTTTTGGATCTTCGTTAGGAGACAGGTAGGTTTCCTGAAATAATAAGCCATTTGACGTCCATCGGATCTTTTTGATAACGACCGCGCTTTTGTCTCGTACATGTGGCCTAGAGTAGGGGCAAAAGCATCGAAACACTCTGAGATACGACCACCCCCAGCAAAAACTCTTCTCTGCGTACAGACGGCTTAAAGAGATTTGGTTGATCTTGCAACGCATGTGTTGACCTTCGAGCAGCTTATCTACTGGGAGAAATAATCTACTAGAGGACACGTCGAATATTGAACACGTATTCAAATGACCATTTTCATAAAGGACGAATTTTCATCCTGAAAATGATTTGAAAGTTACTCGGCAAGTACTTTCTTACAACTGATGCATTTGCGGAAAACGTTGGGAGAATAGCTTAGCTAGCTTAGCTAGAGAATAGCTTTTGAGTGATTACGAGCAGGATCAACCGTGCATGACGCAGATTTCAAAATTTTTACGACCCCCCCCTTTCGGAGGGTATCAGTACGACCCCCTGTATTAGCTATTGTGTCTTTTTACATATTTTATGCCCATCATCGGATGTATGGGCCGTCACCGACATGGAGAGGTGGTGGACAGTGGTAAGTCCGCGCGCTTTGTCTCGCTCAGAGGACGGGAATCGAGCAACATGAAATTTTACCCATTAAACAGAAGTAACACCCAAATTTTGCGTAATAGGCATGGTAGTAATTTTTACCGAACCTCCTTTTTATAAACTGGATAACCAAAAATTGCAGCAATTATTGTACGTGGCCAAGCTAACCTCTCAATTTAAAAGAATATGTCTTCTCTTCAGGGACTTTTTCATGAGATAGGATACAGAAATTTCAATATGGCAAATTGTTTTTTGTACTTTTGCACATGTGCAGTTGTTCGAGAAATCCTCCCGTTGTTCTGTTTTTCGTGCACGTGCGAGTTTCCATCATTTAAATGTGCATGAATCCATTCTTCGGAAATATGGTGCTTTGGTCGAGCTCAATGGGGTTCTAGACTGATGTGCCCGTTAGAGACGGTTCCTGGGAGCAGGGTCAACCGTCACGTTCGAACATTTTCGGGATTTTTGCGACCCCCCCCCTCTCGAGAGGGTCCAGTTGCGACCCCTCCCAACACACAGTTGCGACCCCCCAATACAACCAGCCTTCCTCCACCGCGACCTCTCCCTCTTCTATAGTATTTGATTCTGAGACCAGTTGACACAGCCCAAAACCTACCTAAAACTCCGAAACTCCACCCACTTTTCCCCCAAAAACAGCCGTCGAGCGGGGGGGGGGGGTATATACAACCAGTGAAACGGCAACTTTTTTCGCACGCACCTATGCCCCCGATCCCCCAAAGGCACAATGCGACCCCTCTCCCCTCCCAGAACAGTTCGAACGGACGGTTGACCCTGCTCCGGAGGATGGGTTCTGAGAGGGTTTGCGTAGTTAGAGCTAAATGCCTCTAGAAAACTATCCAACATTAAATCGATTCACGAAATTGCGTAAGAGCTTCAGGCTGAAGCTCTTACGGTAGACCTCCTTGAGCCTGACGACGGTGACAGATGACGTCATATTCTGAAGACGGTGAGGGCAGTGAAGGAGGAGCCTGCGTACACTTATAGAGGGACATTTAGGGAATATTTTGCTGAGGAACTTCCGTCAACGACGGCAATCTCTGCGAAGAAAAAAGGCCGAAGTGCGACCTGGGCAAAATGTCTTTTTTGCCGCCCCCTCCCCCCCCTGTATACGGATTAGAGAGATTAGCTCTTTCAGAAAGTACCAAATATCCTTCCGAAGAAATTTTCTCGAAAGATAATTTCCTTGTTCCGTTTAATAAGGGCTTGTGATCCTATTTTTCAAAACACTCACGCTTTCAAAAAAGAAATTCAAATTCTTCTGAAAGACCGCTCTTGAAAAACGTTCCGTTATTCAGTTTTTTCGCCTATGACTTTTTGGGCCATTCTCCTGGAACGCGCGATTTAAAACTTCAAATGTCATAAGTTTACTACACAAATCGGTAACTGAGAAGCGTGTAAAAAGCAACTTGAATCAGCAAAATAGTGCTTGACCGCATGAATACTGCTAATTTTCTCCGGGCAGGCGTTACCATTGCCCAGAAGCCTCTCTTAGATCTAGAGGCAATCCGCCAATTCGCGCACGCTGGTAGAAGTAGTAGTGAGCGGGCTTTTGATCACATGAGTACGATAACGATCGCGGTATGAGCGCAGTCGCAGGAGCGGGCACATGGTGAGCGTAAGTCCCCCGAGTGTACTTTCATGCCCACGCGCAAGGCGTCTACGTGTCAGACACGATCTTCCGAGCACTGCGAGAGGGACCTACCGTCGCGCGCGATACGAAGAACTCTTTTCACGCTTTACCACATTGTTCGAGTCGCCTCGTTGCATGCGTTTGAACCGCTTGCGTATCCTTCGAATCGCTGCTCTTGCTTGTACCCAGCAATTCCGCCTTACGATGTGTTGAAGTTCAATCTGTACAAAGGCCCTACTATGGATGTAACGGTTGTTACCACCCTTAGAGGCGATAGAGGAAGCTGTTGTATCGAACATTCAATCTAAGCCAACTTCCATCCTTAGCCAGCTGTAGACTTAGCCGGTCCTTCGCACCTGGGTCTGAGAGGATAAAAAATGCTAACAGCTTGCTGGCTGATCATACCATCAAACTGTTTGCTACAATTTCGAATACCAAGTAAGTGGAATGTGGGTGTATTCCCAAAAGCTGATGCGACGCCGAATGCTCATTCTTTTATCATTTTGTCGGCAACATTGAGTTTCCTTCAGGTTGATCGCGTCAGTTCACCAATCTCGGCTTCTTCATGAACAATGCCATGGGTGCGTTCACCTATGGCACACATCCCGGATCAGTGGAGTCTCGTAATGCCCCTCAAGCGGCAAAGTGTCCTCGAACACGAATGTCGCCTATGGTTGCATTCGAGGACGGCAAAGTTTGTTTTTGTTTCTTATTCACATTCTTTGAGGACAACTACGGTCCATCGCTGGCAATCAAGAGTGGGTATTATGGTGACGCCACATCAATGAGTGGCTATGAGATCTCCTACTTTAAGACGTAATTTCAACAGGCGTAAAACGACGGTTGTCAAATATACGCTACTCGCTGGAAGTTTATGTAATCTTGCTTGGCGTCACTAGAGGACTCATGCAAGTTCGGACACTGAAAAGTTCTAAAGCTGCTTATCGCATTTTTATCGCCTAAAAGCAAGCCCGACTGGGTAAAATTGCTGTGTAAGCGCCCATGATGAAGTCGAAGGTGACGAGAGGCTAACCTAAAGAAAGCATACAAAGTCATCCAAAGCCTCCCTAGAAAACATTCATGAAATATGTAGGCTATAATAATAACGATATAAATTTTTTGATCATTTCAGAAGGCGTAGTTGCTCACTAAATTTTCATTCAGAGCAGCTCAGCCACTTGTGGTTGATATTGTCTGAAGTGATCACCGTCGTGGCAAGCACTGATGACTGACATTGTTTTGCGAATGTGGTAAATGTTACGTTTTTGGCACGAGTCAGGCTTGATGAACCAAACCAACCCCTTTTGTCGTCTTAGTGCATGGCTGCGCACCCACAGAGACGTTATCATTCTCAGAATCCCAAACAGCGCCGTAATAATTCTCCAGGGCACGAATTAAGCGCTTTCGCCCTCCACTTCGCATCTCTCTACTGAATCTCAATCGCCGTACTTCTTATTGAGACCCGATGTTTTGCCTTTGATAAAGGTTTGCTAGGAACTGTGTGAAAGCAATTAACGGCAAAGCCCTTTCCGCTCGTATCGCCAGGACTCTGAAGCAGCACTTCGCCAACGCGCCTACCTACACCCATCAAGGGTGTATGTCCAGTGATCATAGTCTTAGTGTGTGCCTATGAGTTCCCCTACCATCAACAGAACTATTCCATTCAGCTGAACAACTCGAGTTCCATCTAGACTTTTCCGTCGTAGTGGTGGAGGCAGAAGGAAATAGTACCAGCCACAGATTCCTACTAAAGCCAAATTTGTTCGCTAGTGTCGTACTCAATAACGATGACAAACGAACTGATTGTAAGCATCTTTCTAGGTAAAATTTGTTGCTGGTGGAACGGACTACCTTGGATTGTGCAGCGTAGTCGTATAACTCTCCTAGGACGCAAAACGCAGAATGTTCTCAACTCGCCGATAGTAGCCAGAAATGGAGATGGCTTCGAAATGAAGAGTGGAGATCAAGCATTGTTATCGGGTTACTGAAGCCCATTTCAAGAATATGCTCCTCGTTCTCACTCTTTAGACAGCTTGACTAGACTTATTTCTCCCTGTTTCAGTCTCTATGCCACCTAGTGATTGTAGTTTTACAGCCCTGATTTCGAAGGTTTTGAAAGGCACTTCTCGCTTCCTATCGAAATGCGAATTTAGCGCTATCCAATGGTGTCACTGTAAAAAAACGAACAAACTGCCAAAACGCGACTCCCTTTTTGCCGGTTAGTTTTGGGATTGGGCGAGTTTACCGCCAACCGTCAATATACAGGGGGAGGGACTGGGAAAAAAAAAGAAGAGTCACTCATAATTCCCATTTCAAAGCAGAACTCATTGCACTTTGCACCAGCCAACTCAAAATGCAGGCTCAATTGGGTAGCTGATGCTATCAACATAACTTGCAATAGATATTCAGGCGACATCAGAAGATTTTCCCACGGAAACATGGTGCACGGTACGAGCTCAACGGGGTCGTCGAGAAACCATAGACGATTACGACGTCTCTGAAACGCTGGTCAAAAGCCATTTTGCATAGTCAGAGCTAGTGTCCCTAAGAAGCCATTCACCAGTTATCCGATTGAAGAATTTATGTAGCAGCTTGGAGCGATTATGGTAGGCCTCCTTGAGCTCGACGGTGATGACAGATGACGTCACATTCTGGAGACGGTGAAGGCAGCGAAGGTGGGCCTGATTCTACTTATGGGGGGACATCTAAGGAATATTTCGCCGTATAACTCCCAATAACAGCGGCATCCTTTGCGACGAAAACTTTGATGATATGCGCCATGGGCAAAGTGACTTTTTTTCCCCTCCCCTCCTCCTATAGGGTCGCTCTCGGGTGAAGCTAAACAATGGCTGATGGAAATGGTCGATGGGCTATTGCTGATTCGATTGCCGGGCAGTAACAGCGTACTTGGAAACGGAAAGCCGAAAAAATATCGCCGGTCCACGGTTTCTTCCTCAACGTCTACCTTTAATCATGCCACTACAGTGCCGGCCATGGACAGTTGTAGAAGCGCTGGCGTTTTACCACGCTCTTAATAGCGCGCTCTATGTCGCGTCTGATTGGACACTCTCTCCACTTGATCGCCTTCCATAAACACCTCTTTTAATGCGATTTCTGTCCTCAAAAATATGGACATCCTCACACACAGGTTTTACTGTTATTGGGTTTTTTTTTTTTTTTGCTTTCTGCCTCATTGTTGTGAATTTCAATGTCTGCAGTAGCCGCTCCTGTTCCTCCATTCCTCTAATTTATTTCTTGATGCAGTTTCACCATCATTTTGTGGCAGAAATACCTCACATTTTATCAGCCGCATTTCCGACCCCTATGAATCATGTTCTGAACCATTTCCACTGGTTCCTTATTTTTTTGTTTGAATTGTTTGGTCACTTTCAATCGTTCATTGTTGACAGTGTACTATTTTGAAGATGAAAAAGCTATTTTGATTGTTCCATACACAATACATTGTTCTAATTATAGATTAGGAATCGATGAAAGCGTCTGCTGCATATAAGAATAGATCGCTGCTGCCTGTACGTAAACGGTCAAAAGAGTTCGCCTAAGCATTTTTTACTGCATTATTTTTTCCTTCCTTGAGCAACACCCTCCAAAGTTGGATATGCTATCTTTTCTAGTGTTTTTGTAGCCTCCAGCTTTCAGATGTTCAAACAAAAAGTTTTTCGAGGACACCACTGATTTTTTTCTGGTACAAAATGGATAAGAAAGGAAAACCGTTGCGGCGAACACTTTTGACCGCAACTGTACATGTGCATGCCTTACAGCACATCGCCTCGAGTATTGGTAAACGACTATTACCCTTAAAGGAATCCTTCGCGGAAAATTCTTGCATTCTTTCTTGACATGAATGTGTCAGTTGTGATCACTGGAAACAGCACACAAAGTTTCACGCATGAAGATTCGGTTTCCGAAGAGAAACAAACGTACAAAACTCTATGGACAATCGAAGGTAATTCGGGCGGAGCCAAAGGCGAGGCATGGAAAGAAGTTGGCCTTTGGCCGGCTACGTACCAGGCGACGCAATGAAAGAATCGGGTTAAAGCGCGCGATTTCGGAGAGTGGAGACAAATCGATCGATGGAATAGGATGGAGTAGAAGTGTAAGATGTGAATGCATTAACCCTTCCAGTAGCTCCTTTAATACCCTTTCCGGACCGCCTGACACCCATGGGTGTCAGGCGCAATTTGCTCCCTGTGGCCGCCTGACACCCATGGGTGTCAGGATCTTCAGGAGCTAATTTTTTCAAGGATTCATTTTTTCAACAAATTGTTTTTTGTTACTATATATCTTCATGAAAGTCTAATTTCAGATAGATAACTGGGCCATACCAAGGTCCTCTCCAAGTTGAGCAAAAATCGAACAGTTCATTATACAATAGCTCCTTACATAATAAGCTTCTGATTCAACAATTTCCCTACGCAACAATGTAATAGAATAACCTAACATCTGTTTCAACGACATATTTACACCACAACCTTCTAAAATGAGTGAGCCATTACTACTAAAATTTACAAAAACCTCCTAGAAGATGATAACTGAATGATAATTGATCTTTTGCATATGAAAATTTCTCAATTTTTTACAACATGAACGATGGACTTGCACCTACAATTTAATCGTACAACAAATTCTAGAATGTGATAACTGATGTTCTGTTTGAACAATTTGCTGACTCAACGACTCCCTAGAAAATGATAATCGGACTTCTTTGGTAATTTCTGTATACGAGGACAACCTAAAACACAATATTTAGGCGTTTGCTCAAAATTCTTTTTACAAAACGTTCTAAAATACCTGTGCTTCCGTTTTGAGCTCAAGGACATGACTTATGATATTCTTGGAAACATTCCAGACAAAAATACTTCCGACATTTGCTGCAATGTGAATCTGTCCGCTTACATTGCGCTGCCGCATGCTTCCAATCGTGCTGCTCCGATGCTTTTTTGTAACAAACTGGGCACCTCCTTTTGGTTTGTCGTTTCGGACCAGGCTCTTTTACCAGCATATGTGGCGCACACGGAATTTCGGCTGTGAAGGTTTCCTTCAAAAAAAACTCGATCAGCTGGCACTTGAACTCATGTAAGGAAATCTTGGTTTTGATGATACTAAACAGCTTCCATGCATTCACGAGCGTGGTTTGAGTGATTCAAGTGAAGCGCTAGTCTCAAATACCACTTCGAAGTTTTTCGGATGAAAGGTGTATATGCCACCATCTGATCTGATAAGTCCACGTAACCCTTTGCCTGGTTGTAGTCTTCAATAACGTGTGGTTTGTTGTTGGCAGTGCGCGCGTCATCATGCCTTGTAGACAGCATAAGCACGTCTCTTTTATCCTTCCATTTCAAGATTGTTATGCCTGTTGGTTCTGTCGGACAGATTTGTTCGCCTCTTTTCAATCTTTTGCAGAGAATCTCCTTAGGTACACCAACCCTGTTCTTACGTAATGTGCCAATCAGGTGAGTATCTCGAGCGGTTAGCTTTTCGGCCAAAGGAATTGAGGTGTAAAAATTATCTGTATAAAGACTCCTTCCACAATCCAGCAATCCATCCATCAGCTTCATCACAATATCTTCCGCGAGTGATCCCTGCCGGTGATTTCCTTTCCTGCGTAGACAATAAAGGCGAAATGTGTAGCCGCCATGCATGCAAAGCTTAAAAAGCTTGATCCCATACTTATGTTTTTTTCCTTTTACGTACTGCCAACAGCACTCGCCCTCTGAATGGAACTACACTTTCGTCAATACAGACTTCTCTTCCAGGATGTAAGCATTAGAGAAGGATTTGTTCAGGAGCTCGACGAAACTCGCAACTTTGTAAAGCCTGTTTGTTTTGTCTGCAGTCATTATCAGCAAAGTGTAGCGAATTGAGAATCTCAACAAATCTCATCCTTGAGATGTACTGTGCACAGAATGATTTACTGTACACTGGCCTGGTTGACCAGTACTCCTTTAGGTGTGCTCTGCGTTCAATGCCCATGTGCAGGCAGAGGGCCAGAAACTTCCAGAATTCAATCTCATCGAGCGGCTCGAACGTGTCCTTTTTAGTAGATCCGTATCTGTTGGTTTCTGTCAGAATCAAGTTCAACCACATCTCTGTTGAGAAAATAACAGAAAATTC